ATGGTGCATGGGTGAATGGGTGGTGGGAATTTCACCGGACTACACCTGAGAGGAGAAATCATGCATTGTACAAAAATGAAGAATGTTGTAAAATATATATAAAACGAAAAAATTAAACATTTATAAAAAAAATCTTTTCGCCTGTGTTTTTAAAAAATGTTTATTTATTTATGCATACAAGAACCAGGGTACAGGCCAGAGATGTGGGGCGTGAGAGGAGTCACCAGAGACAGAGTGGGGAGCAGAACAGGCGGATGGACTGAAGTACACTGCTGAGGAGAGCAGTGGGAGAGTCAGGAGAGGTCTGCTGTGCCATGTGCGTAGCTCCCTGGCCGGAGATCGAACTCGTGCTGCAGTGGCTGCAGATAGCTTCATAGGTTGTGTCTTAACCCCTTGTGCCACCAGGGAGGCCCTCCCCCTGGATTTTGAATGGTTTTATTAAGCAAGTACCTGGGACGTCCCACTGATAGGCAACTCCATCCATAGGAGCAGAGGGCACAGGGAAATTGGTTGCTGACTCAGTTTCTCTCTCAAGCCCTCAAGGGCAGCTCTTTCCTGTCCTGGCTGGCTGGTGCTTAGGTAAGAGATGGAACCACCTTTTCATTAGTTTATCAGCTATATTGGTCACCAAATGTCAGAGGCAACCAGATCTGGTTCACATATTGGAGAGTCACTGCCAAAGCCTTTCTAGGCATTTCCATTAGGATGCCCTGGGATGTAATTGTGTCCTATTGAAGTCATCAGAGCCTTAAATAGTCAAACCCCCAAGGGGTGCATGGACTTGAGCACACAGGATGTTGATTTTAATGTGTTTGATAATGATGTGCTGGATTAGAAAGCTCAGTTGGACAATTGGTTCTCTTTATTTTTGCATTTGATGGCAAAGCAAATGCACACTAATGCCTTGATTGAGGTCAGATGGTTCTTGAGGGCATGTATGAGTTTAAAGAGTGATTTTCAATGTTACTTCATATGAAGAAAATTCATTTTCTGGGATTACACTAGAGTCTCAGTCTTGGCACTGTTGATGTTTGGGGTCAAGATACATCTTTGTGTGGGGCTGTCCTGGGATGTGGGATCTTTAGAAACATCCTTGGCCTCTACCTTCTTCCTCTGCCACTTGCCTGATGTCCCTGTGGGGCAAAATTGCCTTTGGTTGAGAGAAACTGGATGGCACTACCAGGAGATGAAGGAAGTAGCTGGGACAATGTGATGCAGTATGCAAATAGTACTTTTCTCATGACTTTTAGGAAGGTCTTTCATGTGTAAAGTGTCACCAAAAAGCAACACTTGTTACACTTGTTCATTCAATAAAACATGAACATCTACTATGTGCCATGCAGCAGTAAAGGCAGACATGGCACTGCTCTCATGGGGCTTGCATTGGAGGGACTGAATAAATAAGATAGCAGATATCAAGAAGTGCTGTGAAGCTTATCTCTGTCCTGTGAGGCCTCGGTGGTCAGACATCAGGAAAGGGAAGAAATAGCTGGTGAGAAAGGACAGGCGAGTGAAACCTTGTGTGTGTGTGTGTGTGTTTGTATTTCACTGAGAAAAAAGGGAAATGGTAGGAGTTGCCTCTTGGGGAGCTGCCCACACAGCCTAGGCACTGGCATGGTTTAGGGGAAGTGAGAGGTTCTATTGAAGGGGTGTTGGTCCGGTCTTGGGAGCCCCAAAGGTCCAATGCAGAGAACACCATCTCTGGACTCAGCTGGGCTTGGTTTCCCACACTGCCCTGTTGGCCTGGGGTCAGAGCTTTCCTGTAAAATGGGGTCTCCTAGCCTGCCCAGACTGTTGTGACAAAATACCATGGGCTGGAGGCTTAACAGCAACACATTTTTTGCTCCTAAATTCTGGAAGCTAGAAGTCTGAGATCCGGGTAGTTGGTGAGGCCATGTGAGGACACAGGACAGGGCGGCTGTCTGTCGGCCAGAACAAGTCCTCCCAGGAACTGAATGCACCTGGACCTTGCACTGATCTTGGACTTGCAAACTCCAGGAGTGTAAGAAAATACATGTCGGTGGTTCAAGTCCCTGGGTCTGTGTTTTTTTCTTATGGCAGCTGGAGCTAAGACAGCTTCTGCCAGTCTCCCCGCTCTGGGGTCAGAGGCCACCCTACTGTCTTCCTTCCCTGACTGTGCACGGATGTGGCGAATTGCCAGTGTGAACGACTGACTTCTCCTGGACAGCAGGGGCCCGCTCCTCTGGGGTCCTCTGGTGGGTGGCCACTGTGATGATGGGGGCAGTTTTTCTGTCCAGGGTGCGGGATCCTCTGGCAGAGCCACCAGATAAAATATAGGACACCTGGCTACGTTCCAATTTCAGCTAAATCACAATTAGGTTTTGAGCAAAATTATATGGCAAGTATTGTACATATTCACACTAAATTTTTTTTGGTTCCCTGTGTGTGTGTGTGTGGGGGGGGGTGTCCTTGTTTTCATTTTGGCTAAAAATTTCATTTTTGTCTAAATATGAGCAACTCTACTCCAGGTCTTTTTCTGGAAGGGCAGGACAGCAAAGCCCTGGCCTGGGGCGCACCAGCAACTCCTGGGGTGCCAGAACAGAACATCCCAGGCACCCAGACCTTGGGGGGCGCTAATCATCTATGGTTCTGATGGGAGGGACCTTAGCTGAGGGCCACCGACCTTGAGCACGATGCTGCTGGGGGGCACTCCATCCCCCACCCTCTCCAAACACACCCAGCTGGGTGGCTCCCTCCCCAGAGAGCTGCCACATGCACGACAGCAGGGACGTCCCAGGGGCTCCTGCCTCTGCTTTCCTGGCTGCAGCCGCGCCCCTGAGGTTGACCCGGTGGGCGCCTGCTGGACCGCGGGGCCCAGTTGCGCCCGCCCCAGCGGCTCCGGGGCTGCGCGGGCCTGTGAACCGGAGAATCGACGGGGCGGCGGGCGGGGCCCGCGCGCGCGGGGGCGGGGCCTGGGCCGGGACACGTGTGCGGCGAAGCAGGAAGTGAGCGCGGAGCGGAGCCGCGGCCGCGGCTGCTGGAAGCGGCGCGGGGGCTCCGGGGGGCCCTGGAGTGAGTCGCCTTTTCTCTCCTTCGGCGCCGCCGGGGGGCGGAGGCCCGGGACCCCCAGGACACGCCCGAGGGACGTGCACGGGCAGCACCCCGGAGTGTGGCGGGGCTGCCTGGGCGGAGCAGGGCTGCAGGAGGAGCGGGCGGCCGCGGCAGGTGCAGGGCACGGCGGGGGGTGCCCGGAGCCGCCCCTGCCCCCTCCAGGAGAGCCCTGGGGTGCTGACCTGCCTCGTGGACACGCTCCGCAGTCAGACTTGACCCTGGGCGTGTGGGGGAGCCCGGGGATCTGGGAGCAACAGTGGCCACAGTTCCAGTTTGGGGAGACCCCCCTGGTCCTGGGGTTCCCAGGACCCCTTGACCCTGACTGGGACCTGGTTAAGGTGCAGCTGGGCTGAGATGCCCCTTTCTGGGCACCCCCCAGGCCCCTGGTCCGCGGACCACACTCTGAGCACACTTCACACTCGCTGCCCCAGCCGACTCAGGGCTGGTGTGTGCAGCTCCCAGGGCTGGGGCTGCCCCAGGGCCAGCTCCCCTTCTGCAGACTCCCACCTCTTGAAGCTGACTCTCTGGGAAGCAGGGCAACAGCTTTAAAAGGGACAGACAAGAGCTGAGTCCTTGATCAGCCGGATCACCTGCTGCAGAGGCATGCGGCCCCGCGTGGGTGGTGTTGGCCTCTTTAAAGTTGGAGTGGGCAGAGACCAGTCCTCCCTCCTGCTAACTAGCCAGGGTTTGTGGGCGATGTGCAGCTCAGGAGGAAGTCGGCGCCCCATGCCCTTGAGCTGCCAAGGCTGACACTCCCTGTTCCCAGGTGCTGCTGAGGTGCAGCGACTTCTCACTCTCTGGGGACTCTGTGTCCGCCTTGCTGGTGTGGCAGGAGGCCTCGTGTCCCTAAGCTCTTGGTCTGGTAGAAGTTGCCCGGGGTCTGGACTGGTGCTTTCCATGCTTGAATGTTAAGGACCCCCCATGGAGCCAGATCACCTGCAGATTCTGACAGCCAGGCTGGGGTGGGGCCTGAGAGTCTGCATTTTTTAAAAACTTATTTTATTTTTTTATGCATACAAGAGCTGGGGTGTAGGCCAGAGGTGCGGGGGCTAAGAGGGTTCACCAGAGACAGTGGGGAGCAGAACAGGCAGATTGACTGAAATACACTACCAAGGGGAGCAGCGGGGAGACAGGAGAGGTCTGCTGCACCATGTGGGTAGCTCCCACCCAGGGTGCAACTTAACCCCTTGTGCCACCAGGGGGGCCCCTGTTTTTCTGTTTATAAGTGATTTTCTCCTTCTTTTGGTGCAGCCATCCTGAGTTGAGACCAGATGGAATAGGCTGTGGGGGACACAGCCCGATCTCATTTCTCTGAGAGGCCTACTGGCACCAGGGCAGAGCCTGGGCTCACCTGGGTTCTTCCAGGATGGCCCTGGCACCCAGCTTTCCTAGGTGTGAGGACTAGCAGTGCTGCCAGGCTCTTTTCTGGGCATCACCCTCTGCCACAGTCCCCTTCCAGCACCAACAGAGAGAGGGGTAGTGTCTTCAGCTCTGGGTCTGCAAGCCCAGTGCAGCTGGCTGCTCGCGGGGCACCAGGCCTGGCAGGACAGGGTCTAGTGGGGTTGAGTCCAATCCTGTGGGTGCTGGAGGAGTGGTGGGAGCTGAATGAGGCCTTTGAGCAGCGCCCTGGTGTTTGTGTACCAGAACACAGGGCTTTTCAACAAACGGGTTTCTCTATCTTGTAACTTTCCACAGCGGGAGGCTAATACCAGGTCATTCCAGAGTTAGCACTTAGAACATGTGCAAGTCTAGAAGCGGTTCTTGCGGCAAACGCAGGAGGGAATGGAACTTCCCTTCCTGTCCCTGGTGGGCAGTGGCGTGACCTCAGCGCCAGCATAGCCTGCTGAGCCATGGGGGGAATGACAGCACCTGTGGGTCCGTCTCCCTGTCCTTGCTGAAGGTCCTATCAAGGTAAGGTAGCCTTTTTCAACTGAACAGGTATTTTGGGGGTGCCAGAATGCCCTGTTTTACAGGGGTGCCATTTGTTAAAGTGCATCATTAATGTCCTCAAGTACATCGTGATATAAATGAGGAAGGAGGCAGCCACACAAGGAAGGTGCCAAGGATGTGCCCTTTGGACAGGAGAGATCCGGCATGTCCTGCAGGGAGGTGGCACTCGGTGGGCAACGGAGAAGGAGGCTGCTCCGGGTGGCGAAGGAAGGCGTCTGGAAAGGGGTCGTGGGAAGGGCACTTGAGCAGGACCGTGGGGCTCATTGAAGGGACTGTCACTGACTCAGATGGGCCGGAGTACGGAGTCCCCAGGTGTGATGGTGACACAGGCTGGACTAGGTGGGCTGGTGAAGCTCGGCTGGTGGAGTTTACATTGGCCCATGGGAGGTGCCACAGGGAGCCGTGCAAGGTTCGATCAGGATTTTGGTGGAAGCAGTGCAAGAGGGAGCCTGAACTGAGCTGTGTTTGGCCGTGGCAGGTGGAGGAGGCGGGATGTGCCGCCGGCTGCTCACAGGCACTCCTGTCCTCCCTTCCTCAGGGCGACCTGATCCGTGGCCTTTGAGCTTCTTCCCTCTGCTGCTGTTTCCCAGGGCTCTCCCCTCTGCTGTCTCCCTCCATGCCCCCCATCTCTCAGAGTTAGGTGATTCCCCATACCTGGGCGCAACTAGCGAAGACCACGGCCTGCTGCTGGCTCCTGGAGGCGGTTGTGGGCAGGCAGGAGGGGCAGGTGCGTGTCTCCTGGCCAGACACAGGCCGGCGAGGTGGAGGTGCCGGGGAGGCCCCAGAGCAGGGCCCGCTGACCCTCTGCTCCTCTGCACGCAGCCATTGCCAACATGCTCCAGGGCCACAGCCCAGTGTTCCAGGCCTTGCTGGGGACCTTCTTCACCTGGGGGATGACAGCGGCCGGGGCTGCGCTTGTGTTCATCTTCTCTAGTGGACAGGTGAGTTGTCTTGCCTCAGTGCTGGGGGTTCCAGGGGGGCTCCCCAGCACCTCACAACCCCTTGCCACATGCATAGGGGGTTGCAGACTCTTTAATGCCACTGGCCACACCTCCAGATCGGGGGTGGTGTTCTTCCCTGCTCTGGTTTTTCCCCCTTCTCCCTGCCAGGCCCAGAGGACGGTGTCCACAGTTCCTCCCTGGCTTCTCCCGATTGATTCAGAGGGAGACGGAAGTGACGGAAGTGAGCCCAGTGGACTCCCTTAGGCATCCCCCTGCTTTCTGTCTTCTTCTGGCTTTGTTCAGGCCTGGAGCAGGTGGCATTTTGCCTGCCTGAAGAACAATGGGCTTTGGCAGCGATTGTCCTGCCCTGTGGCCTTGAGTTAGCTGGGATCACTCAGAGGCCTTGGGAGAAGGAAGGGGATCATCCCTCCTCTCACCCCCTCTGCAGGCTCATTCCCTCCCCTTTGGGATGAATATGTGCAGAGCCACCCCCCATGTTGCCTGCTGATGTCACCCGAATACCTCACTCTTGTGTGGTCTGTGCACCCACAGACCCTGCACCCTTACTTCAGCCCCTTATGTCACCATACACACCGAGCACCTCTCTAACCCTCTGTACCCCCATATCTTTCCCTCTTCATGTCCTATAACCCACCTACTCACTCCACACCTACACACACACCCCTGCCTAGTGCCCACGCTTCTCTAGACCTTCTGTACCCCCACACTTGCCCTACACCTTCTCCCCTAGCCTCACCTGCTCCTCCACAACCCACATCCACTTCCCACCTCCAGGTCTGAAATTCCTTTCTCTCCTCTAGCCCCAGGCTCAGGACAGTCTTAGGGCCCCAGGCTCAGAGCTCTCCTTTCCCATCTTGCTAAGTCCCTGCCCTGTTCGCTGCAGTCCTGGAAATTGTAGGTGTGGCCAACCCGGGAGTGATTCAGGCTCTTCAAACAGGGCTATGAGCCGGATCTGGAAACTCCAAGCGGTCCAGGAAGTTGGCAGGCTGGGCGCTGTGTCAGAGGCCAGCAGAGCAGGTGCCCATGTCGGGATTAGGCCCCACCTCGCCCTGCACTGCCCCTCTCCCTCGGCGGGAGGTTTGAGGACAAGGAACTCTTGACGCGCAGCCCTGAGTTCCTGGTACTGTCACAGGTGGTGAGAGCTTCTGAAGGCTTTCAGGGGTGTGAGGCCCCCAAGAACCTGAGGGAGGGCACCAGACCACCTAAGCCTCCTTTCTCACGACGGCCACACCCATCAGGGGCAGAACGACCCGTGCTGTCCTCTTCGCCACGTTCTTTTGCATTGGGAAGGGGAGACTTGGGTCTCCATGGCCGGGGCTTCGCTGCTGCAGGGGCCCTTGAGGGCGGAGTTAAATGCAGCTCATAGGGGGACTCGGAGGCCTGCGTGGCCCGGCCAGTGCTGTGTGGGCCTTCATCTCAGATGTGCCCCCTCTCCTTTGGAGCCGAGGAGCCCCTCTTTTGCCTTGTGTGGGGATAATTACCCAGGTCTGAGGAGGAATTGCTGAAAACGTTCTCTGTGTGGAGGCATAGAGGCGACCCCTGAGGCCCCCAGAATCATCCACGGGACTCAGCAGATAGTTGTACATGTGCTGAGTTTCACTACTGTGGGGGGGTCGTCAGGGGCGAGGCTCAGTTGGAGTCTGGAGAATCTGGGCTTCCGAGGCGCCTCCCTCCTGGGAGGGGCACACAGAGCTTGCTGCTCCTTCCCAGTGAGGAAAATGCAGGCATGTGTGCACATGTGCGTGTGCATGTGTGCATGCTTGTGTGTATGTATGTGCATCTGCCACTAGAGTCTCAGCTCCCAAGGTTTTTAAAAAAAATTTTCTTTTTTTTTTGGTGTTAATCTGGTAGCTGTTTATATGTCTTAACTTTGGGGGTACATTTTTACGCCTCCATAGGTGTCCATATTTCACTCCCTGGTCCCCCAGGTTTGTACTGGGTGCTGCTCAGATGGGTCCTCTGTGCTTTGCTTCTACCAAAATTCCAGACCCCCAGACGACAGCAGGTGGCCCGCCTGGACCACCTTGTTTGCAGGACAATGTGGTTATGGTCACCCCTGGCTGCCAGGGACTGGAGGGAGCTGTTTAAGTGCTATTTTTCCAGAAGCTGGCCATGCATCAGCCCTGCCAGCAGCACCTAAAGAGAGCAGCCTCGGTGCGCTGCTAGACTTTTCAGCACAGGAGACGTGAGGACTTGAAGGGCCTGGATGGGGGGACAGAGGCCACCCCGGACACGAGTCCACGGGTGTGCTCTGTGTCCCCTGAGAAACCTCCGTTTTCACTAGGGTGGAGACTTTTGTGAGAGTCGTGTGGCCGAGTAGGCCCTCTGCCCACCACTGCTGCTGTGGTTACGTTTCAATCAAAATTTGGCTTCCTGATTTAAAAAAATGTATTTTAATGGTAGGAAACTTGTAAATTATAGACCAGCTTAAAGAAAAGAATCAACAGGGCCTCCCCCGGGGCGCAGCGGTTGAGCACTGGGTTGTGAAGCTGCCCGAAGCCTCTGCGGCGCCAGTTCGATCCCCGGCTGCTCCCCGGCCACCGGAGGAGGGTCCCACATGGCGCACAGACCCCTCCTGCCGCCCGCTGCTCCCCTCAGCAGTGTACTTCGCTCCTTCTGCCTGCTCTGCTCCCCGCTCTGGCTCTGGTGAATTCTCTCACCCTCCTGCGCTTCTGACTGTACCCAGTGCTTGTATAAATAAATAAATAAATCTTTAAAAAAAAAAAAAGAAAGAAAGAAAAGAATCAAGAAACCCTCCTAATCGCCCTTCTCAGAAATCTAAACATTTGTCCAAATATATTCAGTTATATTTGAGTATATGCAAGTGTATGTTTATTTTCTTTACATAATTCAGATTAAGTTATATATAATGCTTTGTAACTAGCTTTTCTGACTTGATTTTGTGAGTATTCCCCCCTGTATCTCTAATGTTTCTTTGCTTTGAGTGAGTAACTTTGGTTACGTAGACAGCTGCGTAATGTTCCATCACAGCAAGGTGCCAGCAGGTCATGTAACCATTTCCTAACTGTTGGACATATAGGGTAGGTCCCTTTTTCCTACTTTCAGAAATAACATGACCGTGAACATCAATCTTTGAGCACATACCTGATTGGTTCTGAGATAAATGGCTAGAAGTGGAATAATGGGTAGATTTACCTTAAGAGAAGTATAATTTTCCTCTTTCCAGGATCCAGAGGCAGGCTGATGGAATGATTTTATTTGGCTTCTTTATTGTATCTGTCTGATGTGATTATATTAGTTGGCTAGACCAGCTTTGCTTGCGTCATGGCTTGCTAGGGAAGAACATCATTTGTCTAGCTCCCCAGGGTCAAACCTTCCCTCCACTGCACACTGAGGTGGGAAGAGGCTGCCTCTGGCTGCAGGTGACTGACCATGGCTCCCACTCCCCAGCCTCGGTGGGGACTTTAAGCATTGGAGTAATCAACACCTTTGCATGCCTGCCATGTGTTCACGTGGCTGTAGATTGTATATCCCTACTTTTGGCCACCTCTTAAATTATTTTTTTTTATTGAAATGTAAGGTGCGTATAGAAAAATGCACATTTTATAAGTGTGCAGCTTGATCATTTTTTCCAGATGTGTCCCCAAATAGTACGCAGAAGACTCGAACAGTCCAACCTCCCAGCAGCCCTTGCAGGGATTCCCTTTCCAGTCACTACCCACCCCCCCTCCCTCCACTCCAAGGAAACGCTCTCCTGGTCTGTCAGATTAGAAATTCGTTTCCCCTGTTTTTGTCCATTATGTGAATGGAGTTATCTCAAAGCGCGTGCTCTCCTGGGTCCACTGGTGTCCCCCATTTGTTTTCCGGTGCCCCTCCTGGTTGCATCCCACCATCCGGGTGCCCTGGGTGTTCTCAGTGTCCGCTGGTGTCCTGTGCGTGTGCTTCCTAATCGACATCTCCGTCCCTCTGTTGTGAATAGTTCCTGGTTTTCAGCTCTCACAGATAGTGCTTCAAAGAGCGCTGGGTACCTGTTTCCTGTGGATCCAGGTATGCACGTTAGGTCACTACCGAGGGGAGCAGTGCTGGGTCCTGCCTAGGGTGCGCATATGCTCCCTTGCTGTGGATGTGGCCAGGGGCCAGGGGGTTCAATTTCTACCGGTTTGTGGTCACAGCTCACCCAAGGGGAGAGCAGCGTAAGAGGCAACCGCGGTCAGGGCCAGCCAAGCGCCACGCTGAACAGACGCTGATTGGCCGTGGGAGGGATGGAAGGTTTAAAGACAATGTTTCCCCTGTTCTTGGTCCATTTTGTAGTGGACCAAGGCTTCGGACCCAGGCTTCCGATGGGGTCACACCCCGGGCGGGGCCAGGCTGATTCATGTGTCTCTCCTGGCGTACCCTTGTCCCACGAGATACCCCAGAGATTCTGAAACATCTTGTTTTCATTTTCAGAGGCGGATCTTAGATGGAAGCCTCGGCTTTGCGGCAGGGGTAAGTAGCATGTGGTGGGAGGAATGATAATGGAGACGTGTTTGTTCTGACATCTCTCTGCCAAGGGGCATTTCCAGCCTCTCCAAGGTGGGCTCGCTGCATCTCAGGGTTCCCAGGTGCCGATGGTCCCCCCACCCACCAGTCACGGGATCTATTATCCAGTGCATCACAAGCCTCTGCCCCTCTTTCGAGGGTGAAGGAGGCTTCTTGGCAGCTGCTTCAGGACTTGTAAATAAGATAATATTTAGGAGGGGCCCAGCACAGAGCCTCTTTGGCAGTCATTAAATAGATTTAACTAAATTACAGCTCCTTCTCTTCTCTTTCCCCTTAGAAGTTCTTTTATCATAGACATTTCCAAACATGTAAAAACGTTGCCTGAACCCTGCGGTGCCCGCAGGCACCCAGCCCCTGCTGCCATCGTGATTGGCATTTTGCTAATCTCATTTCCTCTGCCTTCCCCCAGCCTTCTTGGGAGGTCGGAATATTTTGTAAAAGCGAATCCCAGCCATCACCTCACTTCACCTGTACATTCAATACACCTCTTGAACTGAACAGCTTTTTAAAAAGCAAATTCGTGTGACACTGTCACACCTACCACAGCCAACAGGAATTCCTTAAGACAACCCAATACTCAGTCTGTTTTCAGATTTCCTACTTTTTCCCCCAAGCGGTCTTCTGGAAATTGTTTTATTAGAGTCTGGATCCAAACACGATTTTCATATCGACTTTGTTACGTTTTCTTCAGGTCTCTTTTGATCTATTAACAGCCTCCTGTCTCCTAACGCTAGAGATTTGTTTTATTTTTTAATGAATGACCTTTTTCTTACCCCGTGTTAATTTCTGACAGAATAGGATGTCTCCGTTCAGGTGGTCACTGTCGCTCTCCACACTAGTATTTCATGAGAAACGAGGGACTTAACTGTAGAGTGACCTGCATTGGAGTTCAGCTCCTTGCTTCCTCGTGGGGCTGCGCAACTTCTCCTCAGCCCCCAGGCCTTCTGTTTGCTGGGAGTTAGACTGAGAGAGGGAGGAGGTCAAGTTCCCCTTCCAGGCGTGCACGACTTGGGGGTGCTGTGCATCCCCGCCCTGCTGGTCTTGTCTGGAGCATGGAGTATGTGCTTTTCACTTTGGTTGATGAGGATTTGGTTCCTCTCTCCTGTTTTTATAGTCCGGAGATTCATAAAAGCTGCCTCAGGGTGCGCCTCCTGGAGAGCCTCTCAGTCAGCCGCCCTCGCATTGGGGTCTGTGCACCTTCAGGGGTACACAGAGACTTCCCAGGGGGTGCAAGATGCATCGATAGTGTCACCAGAGTTGGTGCCCAGGTCCCCCAACTTCCAGTTTGGGTTGCCTTCCGCAGCTGCTCTGCCTGAGGGTGTGCCGACAGCTGGTTCTTTGCCCACCTCCCTGTACCCGGTTTTCCTCTCCCTCTTTACAAAAAAAGATTCACTGTCCCCTTAGTCCCTTGTCTTTGGGACACAGTCTGCATATGTAAACACAGGGCCCTTGGCATGTTGGTGTCAGTGTGGAGAAAGCGAAGAGCTAGTTACTGGTCACTGGGCACAACTCCTTCAGCAGTTCAGATGCCATCCCGTCCCTCGAATGTGGCTCTAACTGAATTGTCAGCAGAGAGCTTCTCCATGATGGACCACTCTGGGATTTGGGTGTGTCACTTGGACAGAGTTCAAAGAACTGAATGACCATATTTTAACAAAATAACTATTTTTTAATCATGTTTTACATCATGTATTTTTCTCTTTGCTTATGTGAAAAAAAGCAAAATATGAAATTGATGCATGGCCATCTTATTCTAGCAATGACTACGAGTATATAGCCACAGATATAGACCGAACTGACAAAACAAGGAAAGACCTTCCCCATGAAAATGTGCATGTCCAAGAATATTTTACTTTTTAAAGTTTAGTAATGCTAAAGCTGTGTATTCTTTTTTTTTTTTAATCGCTGTGGGTCTGTTCTCTACCATGAGCGCTTGTAGTGGTAACTCAGTCCAGGAAAGAAGAAGCAGGTGGAGCCTTGGGTTCACTGCACATACTGAAAATTAAACCAAAATGTATATAGATGTTCCTATTGCAGAGAGATATGGTCAAGAAATCAATGCGAGGCTTTTGGGCATAAAATACAAGCAGCTTTAGGATACAATTTGATGGAGAACTGGAAGGGAAATTCAAGGGAAGAAAGGAATGATGCAGGTGCTTTGACTTTTTTTTTTTTTTAATAGAGGCATGTTTTATTTATTTATTTATTTATTTATTTATTTATTTATTTATTTATTTGTTTGTTTGTTTTGTTTATACAAGCACTGGGTACAGTCAGAAGCGCGGGAGGGTGAGAGAATTCACCAGAGCCAGAGCGGGGAGCAGAGCAGGCAGAAGGAGCGAAGTACACTGCTGAGGGGAGCAGCGGGCGGCAGGAGAGGTCTGCGCGCCATGTGGGACCCTCCTCCGGTGGCTGGGGAGCAGCCGGGGATCGAACCGGTGCTGCAGAGGCTGCGGGCAGCTTCGCGACCCAACGCTCAACCGCTGCGCCACCAGGGAGGCCCATGCTTTGACTTTTGAAGAAGAGCTGGCTCATGCATTTTTGTGTGTGTATCAGGTAACCCACAGACATGACGCACGGCTGAGTTCAGATGCGTAATTAAGTGGACCATGGTGGGACCAAGCCTCTTGTTTAGATGGCACTGGACACCTGCAGAGACCGATGAAACTGTTTAAACAAACCAGCAGTTATATGCCATCTTTTACTGCTCTTTCAACTTAAGGTGCAAACTTTCCATTGTCAATTTGAAAACTATGAAGTTTTTCAATTTCTTCAGGGGGTCCCTGGGAACAAAGTTTGAAGAGCTCTGTTCTGTGCTTTCAGCCCCTCTGACCAAACATTTGGATGCGGTTCTAGTTTCTCGTTTATGCTTTCGGGTCAAATACTGTTGTAAGATTTACATAGCGAGAGACAAGCAACAGAATGAAACTAGGAAGGACACAGAAACCAAAACAACTAGCGGTCTCCATCCGTGGGCATCACAACATCAACATTTAGGATGTCCTGTCCTTGAAAACATCATCTGACGAGTGGATGATCTTGCTCATTTAACCAGGAGGAGCTAAAACAGGCTTTAAGTAGTTGGCAGAAAAAGAAAGAGCTTCTAAAATTAGTCTATGTGTATTTATCAGAACGTGCATTAGTCCTCTCTTCTAAAATGGACCTTGAATATAAGCTAGTTGCACAAGGGCCCTTCTGGCAGGTGGCCAGAAGCATCGGAAACATAAAAGCTTGATGTAGGGGTAATCAGAACTCAAACCCAGGAGATTTCAGAGGCAGTGGCATTTAGAAGTGGATTTTCACAACTTCCCCATACCAGGGCAAGCAACAGAGCCCAGGGGGCCGGAGCTGTCAGTCCTTGTCCTGGAATCGTATATGTCATGTTGCCAACCTAGCGGTTAGAACCGTGGTTCTCAACCCCCAGGGAACATCAGCATGCTTGGCTGTCACTACTGGTGTCTTGTGGGTGGAGGTCAGGGATGCTGCGGAACATTCTAGATGCACAGAACGGCCCTTGCCACAAAAAAACCATCCTGTCCAAAGTATCAGTGGCACCTAGGCTGAGAAATCCTAGAGAACTCCAGTGTGTCATCTCTAGTGAAACATGTAAAAGTTCAGATGTAGTTATAGTTAAAAAAAAGACAGTCCCTGTCTCTCCCCCTTGTCCCTGGAGAGGCTGACTGTGCAGAGTCAGGGCAGGTGGGTGTGACACAGTGCCTGGCATCCTGAAGGTTATGCTTCCTTGACACAGCCCTGCGATGCTTCCTAGTCAGTTGCCCGGGGTCCCAGTGTATCTTGCTCAGGTGTAACCTGTTTTTACAGTCATGTGTGTGCATTTATGTATGTGTCATACGTGCAGGGAAGTGTGTAGCTGACTTAATGTTGCCGCGATATATTTATGTGATGTGTAATTGTGCACAAAACTAGTATTCCTGTAAGGGAGATTCCTGGAGCAAAGGATGTGTGTATTATGATTGTGCTGGCAATCTCTTTCACAGGTTATTTTTCCTCATTAGCCAGGCGTTAGAAGTGTTAATCAGTTCTCCTTAAATGATTCCTCGTGGAATCCATTTGCCTCTTTTTCTCCCTTAAATCACTCTCCAAGTTGCTTTCATCGTAGTCTTTCTCAGTACCCAAGTCTGGCCGGGATTCTTGCCTGAGGCATGAACCTAATGGGGAAACTGTTACCATTTAAAAAAAAAATAAAAGGGAGAGTCATTATCCCTTATTAGAGTCCTTGAGTAGTAACACTTTAAAGCTGTAAAAGATTTTAGATGATTATAAGAACAATTATTTATTGAGTTCTTTCTATGACCAGGTGCCTTGCCACCCACTTTAGTAGATCATCTAATTTACCTTTCACACCAGCTCCAGATGGCTCTCCTGTACCCTCGCTTTGTAGGTGAGGCCCAGCCAGTGTAGATACATTATTCAGATCACAGGGTGAGCAGAGGCGCTGACTGAACCCTCTCACACCACAGAGCCTCCAGCTGTCTTTCTTCACAGACAACAGACAAAGTCAGAGAGATAAGTGACTTAGAATTGAAAATTGCTACATAGTGGCAGTGCCAGGACCAAACCCAGGTGGGAAGTCAGGGGCACCAGCATTCAGCTGAATGACCAGGGGCGACTCTGTGATCTCTCTGGACCTTAATCAACTCTGCTGAGAACCAGGGACATTGAACGAGATGGTTCACTAGTGGTTTCCTGGATCGGCCCATTGAAAGGGGTGGGTACCTGCCAAGGTTAGCGTATCATTTTGTTGCAGGCAGTTGTGAAGGACTTTAGTCCTCAGTTCACTTGTTCGCCTGCTCACCTATTCAATGAGCCACTGAACCACGTGACAGACTTATCTTGTCATCTGAGTAAGGAAGCAGTCACCACACCACACAGATCAACGTTTGGATGAACTTGGAGAGCCTGAAATGTCCAGGTCGCCATTTTAA